AGCCTTCCTTGGGCTTCTTTGGCTGCCTGCAGGCAGCCATGGGAATTGTTAGCTCATGGAAACTTCTGGTCTGAGCATCTTGTAGACCAAAAAAAGCTCCGGGTAGGAAATGTTTGAGCCTGATGTGCGTGACGCTGCTCTGCGCGCTGGGGTCCCTGGGAGACTTGTGGTGCTGTGTGGCTCCTGGCTTGGTCCGTTGGTGCTCCCTGACCTCCTGAGCCTGCGGAAGAGGCGGAGATGGGATGCAGTAAGTCCCGGGTTGCTGCTCTGTCTGCTGGAAGTGGTGAGGCCACTGACATGGGCTGACGGTGCCCGAGAGTGGCTGAAGGGGTTCCACCCCCCTTCCCCCCTGGCTCCTGGCACCGCTCCACATGCTGTGTTCCCGGAGTGCCGGCCCCACTTGGTGCCTGGGGAACATCGCAGGAATCCCTCATCTGTTTCTTGGCCACGCACAAAGGATTTGGGAGAGCTTTTTGGGACACGGCAGGCAGGCGCTTTGTTCTGTGGGTGGTTTCCGCTGCTCTCTGGCCATGCTGCAGCACGGCCTCTGGCCCCGGGTGAGTGTTTCGGCAGCCGTACGTCTGGCAGAGGAGCTCCCTCGTGCTTGGACTGAGCTCCTGGGGGGTTCCATGGAGCTGATGTGCTGTGTAGTCTGTCCTGCAGCAAAAACCCATGCCCAGAGCCTCTGAGGCCTGTGCTGGAGAGCTGCTCCATGTCTGGAGCCCTGGGGCTGCTCAGGGAGGGGTGCCAGGCCTGGCCTCGGGTGCTGTCGACCGTCCCTGCTCTGGCAGGAGCCTGACTGCTTTGGTACGGGGCCATGCTGTGTGGCTCAAGCCTTGCTGCTTCGGAGGAGCTTGCTCTGCCTCTGAGAAACCCCGGTGCTTTTCTGGCTGCCTCGCCCTGGGTTGGCTGATGGCCCGGGGATCCCTTGTGCCCGCTCCCTCCGTGCTCTGCCTCTGAGAAACCCCGGTGCTTTTCTGGCCGCCTCGCCCTGGGTTGGCTGATGGCCCGGGGATCCCTTGTGCCAGCTCCTGCCGGGCTCACTCTCACCTGCACTGCTCCAGGATCCCGAAATGCTCCCTCCCTGGCCTGGATCCCAGCAGAGCTGCAACCCCACGTCCTTCATGGTGCTGAGCTGTGCCATCGCCACGTGCCGGTCCTTGCCCTTTCTAGCCAGACAGGAGGGCAGGCCTGTGGGCAGCTCCGCAACCTGCGGACGGGCAGGGCTCCCACTGCTCTTCCCCTTCAGCATCCCTCAGCCCAGACATGCTCACGCTCCCTGGAAGGGCACGGTGAGATCTCGGGGTCTGGGGACCCCCTGCGTAGGACCCTGTGCGGAGCCAAGGGAATGAGATGCTCAGTCGCTTGGCCCTGGCTGTGCTGAGCCTGGCCAGCTGGAGGGGCTGCCAAACCGAAACCCAGCAAGGCGGCTTCCTTCCTGGCAGCTTAGCCAGCAGGAAGGGGAGCCGGCTTGAAAAGGGAGCTGTCAGCAGCGGCAGAGCTGCCCGCAGCCGCCCTGGGCATCGCCCGCCGTCTTTCCTGCGAGCACAAAGGGACGGGCCCAGGTAAACAAGCAGTGTGTTGGCGAGGGAGCAGCAAACCCCCCAGGGAGCGCGGTGTTACCACCGCTCTGGGCCAGGCTGCTTGGAAACACAACCGAGTTACACCAACCAGCAGGGAAAAGGAGTTCAGGGGAGGCTTTGGGAGCTGCCGACCACAGCTTGCGGAGCCCTGGCGCGTCTCCGGCAATTGGCACGTGCCACCCAAGCTGGGACATGAGGCTTGGGGCCTGTGTAGGGTTTTATGTGAAGTAACTGCCCTAAGCACCAGTCTGGTGGGGGCCCAGCTTGCCATGGGCCCTGGCCAAGGGCTGTGGGGAGATGGTGCTGCCGCTTCCCAGGATTTGGAGTGACACCTGTGGGGGTCTCTGGCTGTGGTCCTTGCTGGGGTGCTGGCAGCAGCAGGGTTAAGCCTGGTCAGCTCCCTGCTGCGGGGTAGCTACCAGCGGGTGCTGCCTTGCCTGGACTTTGGTCCTGGCTGGTGGCCTGTGCCAAGAAGACCGGGGGCCAACTGTGAGCATGAAGCTGGCCCCAGGGCCGCAGGAGCCAGCCATGCATGGAGCTGAGGCCAGGCTGGCCCTTCTGCCCAGGATGAGCAGGCAGGAAGGCTGAGATACTCAGCAGGGCGCAACTCCCTGCTCCCCGTAGCCCTCCCAGGAGAGCTGGGGGTCAGAGAGCCCTCCCCTGCATCCCCAGTGCTTCCCACAGGCTGTGCTGGGGTGGGGAGGGAGCCACCCACTCCCCACCTTGGCTCTCGTGTTTGCTTTTCCAGCTCCAGATCCTGCTTTGAGGCCAGGCTGGGCTTGTTTGGAGCTGTTTGCAAGCCACAAAGCCTCGTCCGGGCTCCTGGCAGCCGTCGCAGCTCTTCGTACCGGTGCAGCCCTGGCCGCCATCTGAGCTGGCGTGTTGTGCAATGCTGGGGAGCAGGGGGCGAGCAGGGCCTCGGGGTGCAGGTCCCTGTGCTGTCCCGTAGGCCCGCGCGATGCCAGGCTGTCATGGGATTTGTGACGGGCACCCTGTCCCCAGGGGTGCAGGGAAACATCCACTTGTACAGGGAGGCGGCAGGGGACCAGCCTGCGGCCGTGCTGCTGGGCCTGGCTCCTGTCTTGTCGCAGAGGCCTCTCTGCTCCCTGCTGCTCCATGGTTTTTCCCGTGATGGCTTGTCTCTCCCCACAGATCCGGCTGCGGTGCCAGAAGGGGATCCCGCCCTCGTTGCGGGGCCGTGCCTGGCAGTACCTCTCGGGGAGCAAGGTCAAGTTGGAGCAGAACATCGGCAAGTTTGACGTGAGTCCGGCTGTGCTGCCAGGGAGGGGTGCGGATGGAGAGGGGTGGTGTTGGGATGGCTCCTGCTCCCGCCAGGACTGGGGCATCTGCTGGGGTCCCAGGTGCTGCCTGTTCCTGCTGGGGGTGGGTCAAGGTGGCTAGTATCCCCGCCGGTGTGGGCTGACCCATGGCCTCATGGGGCTCATGTTTGGGGCAGAGCCAGGTCCAGCCCCGAGGCCGCTCTGTCAGCTCCCTCGGGCTTGCTGCGGGCACAGCATGCCAGAGTGGGGCTGGCACCGTGCTGGCGTGGAGTGTGGCTCACCCAGCCCTCTCCTCCCCAGGAACTGGATCTCCAGCCAGGGGAGCCGAAGTGGCTGGACGTGATTGAGCGGGATCTCCATCGGCAGTTCCCCTTCCACGAGATGTTCGTCTCGCGCGGAGGCCACGGGTAAGTGGAGCTACGGTGTGTCCGGTCCTGGGCAGCTGCTGGGCTGGACCAGTGCTGTGGGGTGGGCGCTGCCTATTCCAGCTCACAGGGCTGCCGTGTCCTCCGGCTCACCGGGCATCCAGGCATAGGCTGAAAACTGGATGGCTTCCAGTGGGTCACGGCCCTCAGCACTGACACCCAGCAGGGTGGGAATTGCTGTGGCAGGAGCGTGGAGGCAGGTGGCTGTGGCCTCTGTTTCACCAGGGAAATGCTGTTCTCCACGTGTCGGGGAGTGTCTGTGCCGCTGTGCTGGCAGCTGGGTCTCTGCCCAGCCATGGCTCACCCTGAGCCAGCAGTGCCGTGGCTGTCGTGTCCCATAGCCCTGGTTGTGTGTGGAAGACAGATCCCAGCCAGGGAGTGCCCCATGCCAGCGTGGGTGTGGGCCCAGCCTGTGGTGCTGGCTCACTGTGCGATGCCCAGTGCTGATTTAGTCCACGGGGGAGGCTGCTGGGCCACGTCTGTGCCCTCTCTCCACCTCTCCCTCCCTGGGGCGTCTCTGCAGGCAGCAGGACCTGTTTCGGGTGCTGAAGGCATACACGCTGTACCGCCCGGAGGAGGGCTACTGCCAGGCCCAGGCCCCCATTGCCGCTGTCCTGCTCATGCACATGCCGGCCGAGGTACGAACCCGTGACCGGGAGGACGGAGGGACCCACTGGGAGGGCTGGGAACGGCTGGGGTGGGGGGAGGCTCCTCGGGTGGTGCTGCTGGGCAGGGTCCTCAGCTCACGGCAGCAGTTTACCCCAAAGCTCAGCTGGTGCAGGGAGATGCCCCTCACCCAGGGGTGCCCTCCCTTGGTCCCTGGGAGCTCACCCGCTGTCCCTTGGCTTGCAGCAAGCGTTCTGGTGCCTGGTGCAGATCTGCGAGAAGTACCTCCCCGGCTACTACAGCGAGAAGCTGGTGAGTGAAGGGCCCGCGGTGCCTTCGGCTGGACCTGCGATGTCTCCAGACTGACAAATCCCCCAGCTCCTCGTCCCGGAGAAAGATGGGAGCTTGGGGAGATCCTGGGGGCTCCCCTGGTCTCTGTGTTGTGTCCTGGTCCCCAGGAGCATCCCACAGTCAGGGACAGGGGGCTCTGTAGCTTTGCTGCCAGTGTCCGTGGGGCACAGCGCTGCTCCCATAGCCAGGTGTGCAGGCTGCTCCTCCTCTGGGGCTGGCCGTGGGGAGCTGATCTGGGGGCCAGGCTGGGGTTAAGGTGCTGACTGGGGCTCTGGGTGCTGATCCCTGCAGGAGGCCATCCAGCTGGACGGGCAGATCCTCTTCTCGCTGCTGCACAAGATTTCGCCCGTGGCCTACAAGCACCTGAGCAAGCAGAAGATTGATCCCATCCTCTACATGACAGAGTGGTTCATGTGCGCCTTCTCCCGCACGCTGCCCTGGAGCTCCGTCTTGCGCGTCTGGGACATGTTCTTCTGTGAAGGTAAAAGCTCCCCACCATCCTCCTCCTCCTGGAGTGCTTGTGCCTGGCACAAGGGACTCCTTGTAGGGCAGGACCAGGGCAGCCACGTGCCTGGGCTCTTTTCCTGGGGAGTTAGAGGGCACGTACACCCCAAACACACCCTTGAGTGTGTCCTGATGGCTGGCGGGACAAGGACCTGGTGCCCCACGGCAGCTGAGGGGCACACTGTCACCCTATCCTGCCTCACCTCTCCCGTTGCAGGGGTGAAGATCATCTTCCGGGTGGGCCTCGTGCTGCTCAAACACACCCTGGGCTCCTCGGACAAGCTCAAGTCCTGCCAGGGCCAGTACGAGACCATGGAGAGGCTGAGGGCCCTCAGCCCCAAGATCATGCAGGAGACCTTCCTGGTGCAGGAGGTGAGATCCTCGGTGCCACCCAGGCGGCCCCGCTGCTGGACGGGGCAGAGCTGGCGTGGCACGGTCCTTGGTGGGCTTGGATTGGGGTTATCCCACGCCCTGCCAGCGGCTGCGGCACCG